ACCTTCGGAAGCGGTCGTCGTTCTGCTGAGAGGGCTTGGAACAGGTTTTTAACGCAGAATTCTCGCAGTTTGCCGCAGTGAGCGGTTCCTCAGCAGCCTGCTCAGCCCCTGTTAACACGGGCGACGTACCATCAGGTATGGCATCAATACTTTGAGGGTAGGTGGTTGAGTCATGCGGGGCACAGATGAGGGCAGATGGCTACAACTTTACTCCCTCCTTATCAGGTTTTGGAACCGGTAAAGCGGCGCAGTACTCAGAAGACGCACAGCGAAAACCATAACGACATTCTGATGACGCCATGAGAAAGCAGCAGTGGTTTGAAGTACACAGCATTACAAGGCTTGAACTACAGAGACCACGGGATACCTTTGATAATGTGTGTAATCGCCATTGCAGACGTTCGTTCAATTGGTGCAGATCACAGCTACTCTTACCTCTTGCCTTGCACTGTTGTCTTGATGCTTCGCGAACACCATTCGAGTTTCTGCTTTGTCCATCGGCTGTTCATTCAAGAGCGTGCCCAGCGCACGTTTCCTTTCTTTCATAGCCGGCTTTGAAGAGGTCCGTAATGCCGCTATTGAGTTTGTGCTGTGCGTTCGTTGCATGTTGGAATTTACTGACGCACTTCTCTTGCTTTTCAATGGCTCATTGCATAATTTTCAGTTTTGTTCCTTGAACGTTTTATTCCATATTTCATATTCATAAGGTGTCCTGAACAAGATGTGCATCTTGAAAAGACTTGATTTCTTCGCGGCGGGCAGTCCATCTGCCAGTGAACACTTCTTTTAGACTGATGAAATTTGACAGCACTAGTCTTCCGATTCGTTGCCGGTCCCAAGCCCGGATGAAAAAGAAGAAGGGTTGGAGACCATGGCAAAGTCACCGCTAAACTTAGCCAGCTGCACCTCCTGATATTTGCGTCATCGAACATTATACGGGCTCGATTGTCGTCCGGGTTACCAAAGGCCACGCCGGCTGTTGGAGAAATGAAGCAGACTACGAAGTCAGCGATCAGCATCTGCTCAACACCTCCTGGCAGCTGGGGGTCACCGCAGCATGTCAATGGCCGCTGAAGGTCGAACAAACGACGATGAAAATGCTAATAAGCAACGGTTCTGAACGGAACAGGCAGACAGCACGAATCAATTATAGTAC